TTCTACAATGGAAGTAACTCCGGGGACGGAGGGAGGTGGGAACATTGGGATGCTGTAAAGAAAGAAAAAGCCTAGAAAAGGAAATCCAACAGTTTCTCCATACATGTGAGTATACAAAGATTTATGCAGTATATATTGTTGTGCATTTACCTGTTTCTTGCTCTGATTTTTCAAGTAGGGTATAAGGAATCCATGGGAAACTACTTTAAAATCTGAACTAGCAACAAAAAAAGATTTAAAAGTCTATATTGATAATTTATTAATAAAGTTGCCTATCACAATGTATGTTTGATATATGTAACAGTAGATGATATTGATCAGACACAATCCAAAGCAAAAAAAAGTAGTATCATCACTTCCTCACACAAATGCTCATAAGAACTGGAAAGTCAACATTAATCGGTGACCATGTTCTGGAAAGCAGTAGCCTTCCATCCATCCCTACATACTGGGTGCATCTACACAAGACACTAACTGTGCAGTAGCCTAATAACACTGCGCAGTAGCATGCCGGGTAAAACCTGTACAAATACGCTACTGCACAGTGATATTAGGCTACTGCATAGATAACACCTGTGAAAACCTGTGCGCCGGCACTACTGCACAGTAGCACCAGTTACTGTGCATTGATTAAGTACTTGGTTATCCAAATACTAAACCTAATGAGTGGGAACTACGGTGCATTAATGAACATGTAAACGCACCCACTGATTGTTTCTTCCTGAAGCAAGAATAACTTGAGTCTATGGACCACTGCCAAGTCAGGGACACAAGGTGTGAACATACCACAAACCAAGACTCAACTGCCCATATCTCTATGGCAATACCTGGCAGTATCTGCTGTGCAGCTGGGCTCTCCAAAGGAGTTGACTGCGATGGACAAATTCTGACCCAAGTTTTCCCTTCCAGGTATGAGTTTTCTGTCAAGAGTCTGTGCAAAAGACTTGCTCAGATTTGGCCTTATAATTGTGCCACGTGGAGCATTACATGCTATTCTCTCTTAAACCGTCTTAATCAACCATAACAATGGCTTTATGGATACCATTAAGAGAGACAAACTTTACTGGCATTGGTGAAAAATTCCTGGAAAAAATGATTGTCTGCCATCTTAATGAGTAAAAGGGGAAAAAACCCAACAAGGTTTAAAATAACAAGTCTGCCTGATTCTCTTTTCACTTATATGTGTTTTTACACCGGTGTAACTCTATTGACTTCACTGGAGTTACTCCTGACTTGCACCTCAGTAAATAAAGAATCAGGCCCAGTATTTCTTGATAAACATCACAGATGCAAAGAGGTTACAAGGAAGAAAGCTTTAACACTCTGCAAAGTGATAATTGATTTCAAAAGTCATATATTAAAGGTGAGTATAAAGGGTGGCAGTTCAGAAAGTAATTAAGGCCCAGTTAAAATCTACACAAACATTGCATCTGATCTACTCTTTCCTCAAGGAATTTTCTTCAGTATCTAGTCTTTCCCGAAGGAATTTTTTTCTTCAGTCAAAACCAGATTTCAGCTGGACAAGGAACATTGGAAAGCTTAAAATAAGTCACTAATAAAATCACTAAAATGTTTAAAAGCTTCCCTACGCTTGAATAATGCACAGGAGCACTCTAGATATTTGAAAAGGATAAAAATAGCCAAGATCTCAAAGAAGTCCTATTCCCGAATCACCACGTGAAATGATGAAGGGAAATTACAGTTATTTATATCGTGTGTGCCAACACAGACACCTAAGCCGTATAGGGCAATATACTACACATACATGCAAACACGTGTGCATAATGGCATATATACGTATGTATGCACACTTATACACGCCTGAGCTGAAATCCGCTGAAGTCAACCTGAAGCCTGATTTTCAGTGGTCCTGCAATGCCAGCTTACTGGGCGTAGCCCTCTGCATGTCAGGGTCAGGATGGCCACCTGGGTGTGGGCCCACGCCTGTGTGTCTTCGCTCAGCTCCAGCTCCTCTCGGCGTGTCACACCGCACCCGCCCCAGGCGAGCCCGGCAGCTGCGGGGACGGCCGGGCCTGCCGCAGGCCCAGACCTCGGCAGCGGTGGGTTACAGCAAGGCCGGGGCTGGCCGAGGGGAGTGACAGCTGCAGGACAAATCCCCCCTCCGCGGAAGACACCGGCGCTGCGCCCTTGGCCGGGGAAGCAGGCGGCGCGGGGCCGGGGCCGGGGCCGCGCGGGAGCCGCAGTGCGGGGCGG